ATGCAACAATCAATAACGTTCGGGAGAAGCAGTACTGAATGTTTCAGGTTTAAAAGTACATTAAGATGAAAATGAACTTTTAATGATTTTAAGTACTCATTAGATTTTGATACATAGGTTTTTAATAGATATTTTTTAATACGTATTATGTTTAAAATGATCGTTTCGATTCTATGGGGACTTGATAGATTTAAATTTAAATTCAAATTCAAATTCAAATTCAAATTCAAATTCAAATTTAAATTTAAATTCAAAATCAAATTCAAATTTCAATTCAAAATTCATATTTATAATTACACCCGTTTAAAACAGTTCGTATTCGTATTACCTCTATCGAGGCTTCACGTGTGTGTGCGTGGGCGTCTGTATTGCGTGCGGAAATTTCTGTGGGCACGAGTGCATAAAAGAGGAACAAATTTCAAATACCAGCCGTACGCGGAAGGTAAGCCTTTAATACTATTTTGATGAGTGAAAGTGCTGTGTATGAGAAAATTAGAACAAGTGATATACATCAGTATACTGTGGTTACCTTTCCTCGGGCAAAGACAAGCCAGGTATCATTGTCCTTTGGTAGAGTTCACGCATTATGCGATTCCATGATACACGTACCTACGATCAATAACAAACTACACATGCTCTGATTTTATTTTCTTGTAGAGTAATGAAAATTGATTTTCTTATTTTCCTGAAATTTTCATTTCTCAAATGAAACATCAAATCCATAAAATCTCTACCAAAAAATCACCGATTACACATCAAACTACAAAAACCGACATAAATATTCTCAATATTCATATCTAAGTATCCCTTACACATTACATTCAAATTACCAATCAAAAAGCAACTCATTCATCGCGCAATCTATCCCAATTCCCGAAAAACCAGTTACACAACGCATTCGCCCCAAAAACGATCATTCATCGCACATTACCAGCACATACCCAACAAAAACCCAAAGAAAACTTAACAGATTTATTCGTACAATAGTCGTGATTCGTTAGTCAAGTTGGCGTGTCGACAGTTGAAAAGAGAGGGGAATAGGAAGCGAACGAAAGCGCGCGGATGGCGGCGGCGGCGGCGTTGATCCTGGTATTAGTCTGTATACACGTGCACGTGTACGTGTGTATGTGCTCGAGGTGGTGTAGGAGGGGGCGAGAGAAAGGCACGAAAAAAGAGCAAGGGGGAAAAGGCAAAGAACGGCCGGCACTTCCGCGATCTAACGCGATCTTAGGCGTTTCCCAGTCGCGTGACCGATCTTTTCGCCCTCTCCACCGTCGCCGGCCAGACAACGCGTGCTTCCCGTATCGCGTCGTTACGTCACTGGTTCACTTTTGCGTCGCGGCGATCAGTTTCGCCCGAGAAAGTTCCCCGACTGCTTTCCCGCCCGACTCCTTTGACATCGCCGACCGCGCGGGCTGCGTGCGGATCAGGAACACGTTCACCGTTATTACGCGCTCCTTTATTTTTCTCTTTCCTCCTCGTTTTTCGAGACACTCGGCCACCGTTCTTTTCTGTTTCCCGATCCGATTCACTGTGTTCTCGGCGATCGACGCTGGAATCGTGGCTGTTGGAACGAATCGGTTCTAGAGAGAATTCCTCGCGAGAATTATCTGCGTTTCTTTCTTTGTGATATTTTGTTCGTTGGGATTGTTGCGTATTGGATTGAGCATTGGGAGAAGAATAGTTATGGTGATCAGATGATATTGATGTGGTTAGATATCGATGGGCTGGGATTTTTGTTTATGGGGCTGTTTTTGTGTTTATTAACCCTTTGCACTCGGATGTTTCTTACTAGAAATATTTACCATTTCTTTACGGGGCGGAGACAATGTTCTTTGAGACTAATTCGAAGAGAAATCACCAGTACATCGAGGAACAAAGCTGTTTTATTTCAATGTTTCATGTATTCAAGTGGTGAGAGTCACCTCTCGAGTGCAAAGGGTTAACGGTGAAGTAGACTAGAATATGAAGATTTTAAGGAAGTTTAATTGGAATCTCGAATTACAGGCGAAATACATCGATCAGTTTACTCGATACTTCTAGAATAATAGAAAGGTTCAATATCGAATAAAAAGATTGAATAAACCATCACTATCTCCATCAGAAATACTTTGTCATTAGCAACACCTCGAAAATCCTCGATACAGTCTATTCTATTCAACTTTTCCAGTCAATAATTAATCGACTATCAAAATCTATTCATCCCTATGCCTCCAACGGAACGAAATCGATACAAAATAACCTCGATCGAATGAATCTAGTCATCCGAATTAACCGTGGTAACAGGTTTCGGTTAGGCAAAAAGTTAACTATTCGATACCTCTAATAATAAAAAGGTTCAATATCGAATAGAAAAAATTAAAATAAACCCGTCATCTATCTCCAACTGAGATACCCCAATCATCATTAGCAACATTCGAAAGACACTCGATACACTATTCTATTGAAGTTCTCCAGTTAATAATTGATTGAATATCAAAACCCATTCATCCGAGGTCCTCCCGACGGAATCGAATCGTATCGAAAGAATCTCGTTGGTCGAATTAATCTATCCATTTGAATTGGCCGCGGTAACAGGTTTCGAAAGGATTATTCTCGCGCGCGCTCGCGTAAACTCGAGCCACCCGTGTCCTTCGACGCTCCGGAGGTTCGTCCTTGGCAATGGAGAACGTAAACGCTCGTCGGGATCCACGTAATACGCGGCAGTCCTTTTCGTTTGATCCTTAATCGTTTACATTCTATGCAACTTGGATCATCCGCGCGATTATTCCGCGCGACTTTCAACCGGTTACGTAACCCCGATCAATTTGCATCGGGGGATCTTCCCTCTTTCCTTCGTCGTGCTCGGGCTTGTTTCGCAAGGATCGCTCGTCCTTGAACGGAACCTCCTGGATCCGACGGCATACCGATCAAATCGACGGTTTATTGGTCCTGGAGAACGAACGTTTCCTCGTGACAGGACGAAAGGATAATTATCCTCTGGTCTCTGTGTACCGATCGCTTGGCAGTTTCATTGGGAAACCTGTGATGCGATAAAGTATATTTAGAAAATCTTTAGAAAGGAGTTTGGAAATTGGTTAATTAATTTTGTAGTGAGTATAGGTTAATATTAACGATTTTCTAACGAATGTCTCGATACTCTGAGATGACAAGTGATTGAAGTTGTCGAACAGCAGATCGGTAGTTTCCTTTTCTTATTAATTTAGCAGTTGATATATAATTTGGAAATATCTGAATTAATGTCAGAATTTAGTTTTTTAAACCGTTCGATTCTCTTCGCGGTTCTGTGAATGATTAATGGCGGCAAACATTGTTTAGATGTTACGACGAATCATAAAAGTCTTAGTATTCCGTTCCAATGTAACGACACGAATGATTTGCTTTTTGTTTCAGGTAAGTCATTGTGAATGCCAGGAGCTGCGGCAATAGATGATTCGTTTCCAAGACACTCGTGGGTAACGTCACCAAACTAATCTCGTAATACATTCTCTCGTAATCGATCCAACATCGACGATACAATATAACACATAATACTATAATACGTATAACGCTAATATACTAAATAATACACATTATTTCCGTTCAAATCTTTTCACAGAAAGCATAATAGAACCTCGTATCGAGCCACTAAATTGTCCTTTCATAGTCTGGATTAATTTAAATTCTGAATTTTAACCCTTTGCACTCGGAAGTTGTTACTAGAAATATTTTAACATTTTCTGATGAGATAAAATCGATATTTTGTGAAACTAAGTCGGCGAGAAATCACGCGTACATTAAGGAACGAAGCTATTTTATTTGAATATTTCTCAAAATGATGCATCATTGGAAATATAATATTAAATATCAAATTTTATAGTTTTACTGTATGAAATCAAGTGGTGAGTGAGAGTCACCTCTCGAGCGCAAAGGGTTAACAGAACAAATACTCTGACTACCTGTCAAATTTTCTCTCTTCTTCGTTTCTCCTAACTCAGAAATCCTTTCTATCTTCTAAATACATTACCCAACCATTTCAAAATCCAAAATACTCATTCCCTCAATGTTTCTCTTCTCAACTTAACCACAACTTCCTAACAGCTCATACATTCCTATCTCACGATTCCACATTCTCTCCTGTAAACCGAGAAAAACGGATCGGCCGATATCGTCCACCCTCTCGTACACGCGCGAGCTGTAAAACTACAGTCGAATTCGCGAGAGGGGACAATTCAGAGCCGCGGAATTAGCCTTACTTCCTCTATCGACGCTTCCGTTAAACTTTATTCAGCTTCTCGGCGCGGTGAAACGGGTGTCATCGCGGGCTGCCGCGGAAAAGAAGGGTTATTTATCGCGCCGACGTTGGCCGACTGTAAAACCCGCGATTTACGCGCGGGAGACCCATTAAAAGCGACTGGCACAAAAGAAAGTACGTAATCCCGATCCGCTGGACACGGAAAGCAAAAAGGCCCCGCGAGCCGTTTCCTTCGGCCATTCCGCGCGAAAACGGGCCGGGAACGCCCACGCGGCGTCCAGGTAATGATACACCGGCGCGGCGGAGAAGGAACAGGGCCCGCGGCACGTCGGAAGTCGCGGGCGATGTTCCGGTAACGATAACTCGCGGCACCGAGCGGCGTTTATCGCGTTTGTCGAAGCAATTACGCGGATCGATCCGGGGAAAGAGAAAGTCCGCGAGCGACGCGATGCCCGATCAAAAGGAATCTAATCGCGTCGACTCGTGCGCCTCTGGCACTTATGCTCGCTGGTATGAATAGGTTACACGTCTGCGTTTAACCCTTTGGCTACGGGATTTTGCGTCAACGCGTGTTTCTGGGAAAGCGTATTGAAAACGAGAACACTGAATTGAACTGAATAAAATAATCAGGTTTACAGGGTATACGACTGATGAAAGATGTAATTGTTCGATTAGAATTCGCTTGCATCTGATCTGAGCGGACTTTGATGTAGTGATTGTTAAGAACATTTTACGGGCGCTAACAGTAGACAAGTTAAGTAGGTAAATAGGTATGATTAACCCTTTGCACTCCAAAGGTATCTCTCAGTCACCACTCAATTGGTGCATCAAAATTGTAAAATTCCGTATTCAACACGAAGTCTTCAGTAATCTGTCGATACGTGAAATGTGGAAATAAAATAGCATTGTTCCCCTTATTTTGTGAATATATTCCTTGTTAAGTCAGTTGAAAAAAATGACATCTGTATCTCATAAAAATAAATTGAATATTTCTAGTGATAAATTTTTCGAGTGCAAAGGATTAAGGGAATGATTGGGGAAGTTTGTTTGGGATCGCGACTGGTGACGGTAGAAGTAAAGGAAACGAGTTTGAGTATATTGTATGCGAATTGTAGATTTTGGATCGGTTTTGCTGAATGTTTATTTGTTTGGCAAATGTTTAATAAGTGTTTCGTTGTTGTAAAGGGTAATGGTAAGCTTGTTGAGAATGAGAAGACACTGATATTTTAAATGAGATTCAGATATTCGAGTATCTAATGCCTCGTTGATTATTTTATTGTATCATTAATGATTGTTACTTTTTCTCATTGAATATATTATTGTCGTGAATATGAAACTTAACTGAAATAAATCAAATAAACAGGAAGTAAGGTAGAAACTTTATTCGAGTGAGATTCGGTCTCGATAGTGTCCAGCGCTCCGTCCGATAATGCCAGGAAAGCGACGAGTCTCCGTGTAAGACCGCGAAGAAACGATCCGCGGAAGATAATGGAATTGTGAGCGTGACTCTCTCGGCGTATGCGTGCGCGAGCTGCGTGGATCGGTGAGAGTCGGATGAAAATGATTCCCGGTAACCGCGTCCCAGGGAGATGCTTCTTCGATCGAGGATACGGTCGCCATTGTGCCGCAGAGATTTAGGTGTCCATTATCGACGCTCGCTGCGTGCGAGAATTTTTAGCCTGTCGTGTATTATTTATTCTTTCATACCAAAGAATAAGAATTTATTTTCTTAGAATTCATTATTAACCCCTCGCGAACGAGAATCTTCGGAATTTTTAGAGACTTCTTCCATAAGAAATTGGATTACGCATCGGAATCTCATTGATATGCATTGATCGTTGATATTACTTAATTTATCGGACTTTAAATATTAGAAACGAATAAAATTGAGCTCTTGTTATTTGAATAATTCAATTATTCGCTCGTGGCTCTCGATATTTCGATATCCGAGCTCCGAGCCGCCATTACGACGGCCGTAAAGGTTAATATTTCGACTCACAGTTCTCACGTTATCTAGTTACTCGATTCATCAAATATTTCTATTCGACGTCAATTTCTTATTACAATCGTCTTCGAGGAATTCGAAAGCTTCGATCATCGACGACTACAGTGGAAATGTTAACGCAGCGGCGACCACTGACGCCACGCTGGCGTCATCTCAGTATCAGTAAACTGTTTACTATTTCATAATACCAATCATAATGAAATCTATTTCAACCATAGAAAGTTATGACAAAATCTTAAAAAATTCAGAGTTAATCGATTTGGTGAATGCAGTTAACTCTAGAAAACAAGAATTGAGAAAATTAGTATCTCTTCTAAAATGATTATAACATATTAGTCGGCCATAGAAAAGACTTTCTCACCTAAAATAAAGAACCGAATAAATTCTTGAATAACTGACAACATTAATTATTCCATTAAAATTCAGGAAAGTCAGAAAACATCGATAAATCGACTTAACCGCATTAGTTTCTGAGCGACTCGTGTATCGGCGTTTCACCGATGATTTTAATTACGCCGGTAACTAATTATTCCGCTGGATCGATATCATAAATAAACGATGGCTCAATCGGGATGGCGCGCGTCGAGCGTTAACGGTTTTTCCTCGCGGCCCACGACACAATGCGAGTCGCCGGACTCGAAGGAGACGTGGCTTGGCCTGGCAGCAAGTGAAAGTTGCTCAAACCACTTTCCCCTCGGGCGAACGAGCCGTTCGTTCGCGGCTGAGCACCGACTTCCGGGCTCCGCGATTCCCGCCGCGCGAATGCCGGGGATCCACCGCCCCGAATCGATCGATCTACACGAAAAATCTTCGTTCCCCGCGATACCTTGCCCCTTTGCCAATAAATTTCTGCGCCGCGTGCCGTTCGACGGATCGCTGACTTTCTCGGGACGGTGTGTGTGTGTGTGTATGTATATATATATATAATAAATGTGTATCCTGTAGCTCGTTTTGTATTCGATTCCCCGTTTCTATTCAGTGGATCGTGTCTCTTTCGAATGATTTACTTTATTTTCGAACCACCTTGCGATTTGGAGGGTTAAGATTGATCATTTCGTGAAACGTGTTTCAAGGAGAAATGAATAGGTTGGATTGCTTTTCGTTGAATCGAGGAAATCGAGAATATCGTTTCCTGTGTTTATTATAATACGAATCAGTGTAATATTTAGTATCCTGTGTTAATGTTCATTGGAATTCATTTAAAACACATCTATTTCGTAAGCACGAAATAGAATTCTAAAGTAATCATCTATGTCTCTTTCCATTATAATCCATACATCTATTTCATCGTTAATAATTTATTAACGAAAAGAGACGAATTCTATACTCTAAAGTATCATGATTGATAAGGAATATTATTTAATTCGAATTGAGGGGAGTCGAGTAACGTTTATCTGTTGCATTCCGTTCGAAACCTTCGCTACGAGTCTCAAGCGTTATTGTAATGCAAGGGGTCAATGCGAGGTTGAATACACGCGAAATCGAGCGGAGCGATCGAAAGCGTAATCGAAATACAAATTAGAAGCCTCCCGTCGTGCGCGTCGGATCAGGAATTCGTGCGTGATCCCGGAGACCTGTTGAACCGGAAGGGATTTCGACGGCCGCGCAAGCGATGCGCTCATGGAAAACTTCCGAGACGACGTCGCTTCCGACAGCTTCATAATCGGCAAAGGAAAATCGCGCGCCCTCGCGGGAAACGATCTATGAAATTGTGGTACGTCGCCGGCTTCCACGCGCGTCCATCCTGACAGCGACGTATTACCATTTCTTTTCTCTTGATCGACGTCGCTCCTTTTTCCGCCTTGTTCACCGAGTCGGATACTTTCTACGCGATTTCAGGTGAACTATTGTCTCGCGTTGTGTTTCTATCGGCGGTGTTTGAATATTGGGAAAGTTTACGATTCTACGATATGTAATTAAAGCTGAGATTTATTATCAATTACCATGGAGGAACGAAGACAGGCAAATGAAACGGAATCAACCGGTGAATTGGAAAGGTGTTTGATGATTTATCCCGGATTAATGAATTTCTTGGTGTTGACCGTTGATATATCGATGGAATGTTGAAAGAGGTACGGCTCGATGAAGTTTGTTGTAACTTGTTGCTATTTTACATTTATAGTATTTATTCTTATCTAAGCGTTAACTAGAGAAAGGGGAATATTAATTAATTTAATCGTTTGCACTCGACAAAACTTATCATTACAGACAT